GCTAATTTTTGTATTTTTAGTAGAGGTGGGGTTTTGCCCCTGGAGGGGAAGAAGAGGTGGAGAGCTCAGCCCGGCAGCCCCTCATAAGAACCGAGGCCCCGGAGTCGAAGCCAGGTAGGAGACACCCTTAGAGAGGTCACTTTCTCTCTGGGTTTGGCCTTTTCCTCTCTGCAATGGACACAGTTATGAGGGGAAAGAGAGTGAGTGTACTGGTTATGGGAAAAGCCTTTGTCTATTTGAGAAATACTTGTTGAGGCACAGCACAGAGGCTCACGCCTATAATATCCCAGCACTTTGGGAGGCTGAGGCAGGAGGATCTCTTGAGCTCAGGAGTTTGAGTCCAGCTTGGGCAACAGAGCAAGACCCTGTCATAAAAAAGAAAAGAAAGAAAGAAAAGAAAGGGAGGGATAGAGAGGTATTAATTGAGTACTTACCATGTGCCAGGCATTCCAATCACAAGTGCTGAGGTCCTGCGGTGGGGATAAGCTGGGATGTTCTAGCTCAAGTGATCCTTTGGAAGTGTTCAAAGGGATAAGCTTGAACCAGGAGGCGGAGGTTGCAGGGAGTTGAGATCGCACCACTGCACTCCTGCCTGGGCAACTGAGTGAGACTCTGTCTCAAAAAATAAAAACAATTTAAAAAGAGACATGAAGAGGTCTCACCTGGTGAGGTTTTTTTTTTTCATCATGGTAAAAAGTATGTATATTACTCGAAGTTTACCATTTTATTATTTTTTTTATCTTATTTTATTTTTTTGAGACGGAGTTTCACTCTTTTTTTTTTTTTTTTTTTTTTTTTTTTGAGACGGAGTCTCGCTTTGTCGCCCAGGCTGGAGTGCGGTGGCGTGATCTCGGCTCACTGCAAGCTCTGCCTCCCGGGTTCACGCCATTCTCCTGCCTCAGCCTCCGGAGTAGCTGGGACTACAGATGCCCGCCACCGCGCCCGGCTAATTTTTTGTATTTTTAGTAGAGGCGGGGTTTCACCATGGTCTTGATCTCCTGACCTTGTGATCCACCCGTCTCGGCCTCCCAAAGTGCTGGGATTACAGGCGGAGTTTCACTCTTGTTGCCCAGGCTGGAGTGCGATGGCGCAATCTCAGCTCACTGCAACCTCTGCCTCCCAGGTTCAAGTGATTCTCCCGCCTCAGCCACCTGAGTAGCTGGGATTACAGTCACCCGCCACCACACACGGCTAATTTTTGTGTTTTTAGTAGAGATGGGGTTTCTCCATGTTGGCCAGGGTGATCTTGAACTCCTGAGGTGGGTGATCCACCCACCTCAGCCTCCCAAATTGCTGGGATTACAAGCGTGAGCCACTGCGCCCAGACATTTTAACAAATTTTAACATTTTAACAATTCTTAAAATTTGTTACATCCAATCCAGTGGCATGTAAGTCACTTCCCACTGTTGCGTGGTCTGGTTAATTCTGTCACACCGGCGCCTCTTTGCCGAGTCTTCAGTGTGAAAACTTCATGTGCCCTTCTCTTTCTGTTCCGCTGCAGGCTCCAGCTCCAGCCTCTCCCTTCGGGAAAGGTGGACAGTGTTCAAGGTTCGGATGGTGGCTGGGGTGTGTCCCCATGGGGGTTGCTCACCTCCGGGCCCCCCACTTACATCTTCTGCCTTTTCCAGGGTCTGCTGTGGTACATTGTCCCCTTGGTCGTGGTTTACTTTGCCGAATATTTCATCAACCAGGGACTTGTGAGTGAGGGGTGCTGGGAGGGGTGTGGAGGTGGTGACTGAGGCTGGGACCCACACAGCCCCATCCATCTCCCCTGTCTGGTCTTTGCTGCAGTTTGAACTCCTCTTTTTCCGGAACACTTCCCTGAGTCACGCTCAGCAATACCGCTGGTAAGAGGAGCAAGGGCGGCGGGCTGGGAGGGCGCCGTGGTGATGGGGCTGCCCTGCTCAGTAGGGACCCGGGGGAGTGGGATGGTCCCTGGAGGAGCCTCCTCTCCTACTCCCTACCCTAACCTCAGGTACCAGATGTTGTACCAGGCAGGCGTCTTTGCCTCCCGCTCTTCTCTCCGCTGCTGTCACATCCGTTTCACCTGGGCCCTGGCCCTGCTGCAGGTACCAAACCCCTGCCCCTCACTCCGTTCCCACCTTGGCTCCCAGCTTCCCCAAACTCCCCTGCTTCCCACTATCAGTAGGAAGTGTAGTTTTTGTTTGTTTGTTTGTTTGTTTTTTGAGACAGAGTCTCACTCTGTCGTCCAGGCTGGAGTGCAGTGGTGCAATCTTGGCTCACTGCAACCTCTGCCTCCCGGATTCAAGTGATTCTCCTGCCTCAGTCTCCCGAGTAGCTGGGATTACAGGCGCCTACCTCCATACCTGGCTAATTTTTGTATTTTTAGTAGAGGTGGGGTTTTGCCATATTTGCTGGTCTTGAACTCCTGACCTCAGGTGATGTGCTGGCCTCAGCCTCCCAAAGTGCTGGGATGACAGGGAAGTGGAAATTGTACACTATCATTTCTTAGCACAGGGAACCGAAGTCCAGCAGGGCTCCATGTAAAATGTATAGCCTCAGGAGCCAAGCAAAACCGAGCTTCATTACTCAGCCACTGAGTGACTTATGGCAGGTCTCAGAACCACTCTGAGCCGCAATTTCCTCATGTATAAATTGGGTGTGGCCAATACCTATTTTTCAGAGTAATTGTAAGAAATAGAGATGAAAGAAAGAATGGAAGAACAAGGTTTTGTATTGTGTGTGTGTGTGTGTGTGTGTGTGTGTGTGTGTGTGTGTGTTAAGCCGTGTGGTGATTGGGCTGGGCCAGGTGGCTCATACCTGTAATCCCAGCACTTTGGGAGGCTGAGGCAGGTGGATCATTTGAGCCTGGTAGTTCAAGTCCAGCCTGGGCAACATGGCAAAATCACATCTCTACAAAAGTTAGCCAGGTGTGGTGGTGCACACCTGTAGTCTAGGAAGCTGAGGTGGGAGGATCACTTGAGCCTATGAGGTCAAGGCTGCGGTGAACCAAGGTCATGCCTCTGCACTCCAGCCTAGGCAACAGAACGAGACCCTGTCTCCCCAAAAACGAAAAAAGAAAGAAAGAAAAAGTCAGGACCTTCCTCTGTCGCCCAGGCTGGAGTACAGTGGCGTGATCATAGGTCACTTACCTCATGCAAAGAGACAGGCTTTCAAATGATGTTTCTAACTATAAGAAAATGTGCAGTTCCTTTATTCTAGATAGTTAATTATAATAGAATTGGTGACTTTGTAGTCAATGGGTTATTTATCTTAAGGGTGGTGAGCAAATTCCACTGCCCTTGGTAAACAGTAGTTTACAGCTTTAAGGGCACAAACACCCTTCCTTACAACAGTCGAATAAAAGGAGTTTCATATAACCAGTATTCATTGTTTCAAGGTTACAAATCCACAGTCCCTGGAGGTCACTGTTACAATAAACTGTCAACTGTGACAGGAAAGTCCTCTGCCCTTGAAATTTAGGAACTCCGCCAGTGGTGGTTCACACCTGTAATCCCAGCACTTTGGGAGCCGGAGGTAGGCGAATCACCTGAGGTCAGGAGTTCGAGACCAGTCTGGCCAACACAGTGAAACCCCGTCTCTACTAAAAATACAAAAATTAGTCGGGCGTGGTGGCATCTGTCTGTCATCCCAGCTACTCACTAGGCTGAGGCAGGAGAATTGCTTGAATCTGGGAGATGCAGGTTGCAGTGAGCTGAGATCGCACTACTGCACTCCAGCCTGGGCCACACAGAGCAAGACTCCATCTCCAAAAAAAAAAAACCTTAGGAATTCAATTCTGTGATAGCAAAATACAGAAATAGAGATTATACTTTAGGCCAGGTGTTGTGACTCACACCTATAATCCCAATGCTTTTGGAGGCTAGGGTGGGGGGCTGACTTGAAGCCAGGAGCTTGAGACCAGACTGGGCAACATAATGAGACCCCCATCTCTATAAAAAAAAAAAAAAATACAAAACAGGCGAGAGAATTGCTTGAGCCCAGGAGTTTGAGAGAGCAGCCTGGGTAACGTCATGAGACCCCATCTCTACAAAAAACAGGGTGTGGTGACATTCACCTGTAATCCCAGCTACTTGGGAGGCTGAGGCGGGAGGATCGCTTCAGCCCAGGAGTTCCAGGCTGCAGTGAGCCATAATCATGCTACCGTATCCCAGCCTGGGTGAGACCCTATCTCAAAAAAAAAAAAAAAAGAAAAAAAAAAATTACACTTTAATATTATGGCAAAAGCATGTAAATATCCTCCAACCTTCTGCCTTATTTATCTGAGCAGTGCTGCAAGCCCAGGGTTTGTACCCACAAAACCCCAGATTTATAACTTGGGGTGCTTCTAGATACCACTGAAATATGTAGCTTATGGTTTTAAGCTACATGTTTTTAGCTATAATTTTTTTTTTTTTTTTTTTGAGATAAAGTCTCGCTCCATTGCCCAGGCTAGAATGCAGTGGTGCAATCTTGGCTCACTGCAACCTCTGCCTCCCACATTCAAGCAATTCTCAAGCCTCAGCCTTGCGAGTAGCTGGGATTACAGGTGCACGCCACCACGCCCGGAAAATTTTTTGTTTTGTTTTGTTTTTTAGAGACAGAGTTTCACTCTTGTTGCTCAGGCTGGAGTGCAATGGCGTGATCTCAGCTCACTGCAACCTCCGCCTCTGGGATTCAAGCGATTCTCCTGCCTCAGCCTCCTGAGTAGCTGGGATTACAGGCACGTGCCACCACACCTGGCTAATTTTTGTATTTTTCAGTAGAGATGGGATTTCGCCATGTTGGCTAGGCTGGTCTTGAACTCCTGACCTCAGGTGATCCACCCACCTTGGCCTCCCAAAGTGCTGGGATTACAGGCGTGAACCACCACACCTGGCTAGGGGTGTGTCCTTTTTAATGCTCAGCTTTAAGTCCACCTCAGATTTAATGAATTAGGACCTCTAGGGTAAGCCCTGCTTGGGGCATTTGTACCTAGATCCCCAGGCGATGTTTACATGTACGAAAAGTATGAACCGCCAGGAGGTGGCCTACACACTGCACAAGAGGCAACGTGGCATGGCTAGGAGAATGGCACCTCCCTGAGAGACTGGGATACAGAGGTGGGACCTACACCCTGGGGTGGGGATCAAGGAGGCTTCCTGGCCAAGTGCCGTGGCTCCTGCCTATAATCCCAGCACTTTGGGAGGCTGAGGCAGAGGGGCAGCAACTGCTTGAGGCCAGGAGTTCAAGCCCAGCTGAATAGGATGCCCGCCTACTCCCACCTTGTTTTACCGTAGTGAACCAGTGGTTTTTCAAACAGGGGCAGTTTTGCTGCCCAGGGGATGTTGGGCAACGTCTGCAGGCATTCTTTGGTTGTTACAACTAAGGGATGCTATGGGCATCTAGTGGGCAGAGGCCAGGGATGCTGCTAAATGCACTGCTGTACACAGAACAGCTCTCACCACACAGAACGACCAGCACCAAATGCCAAGAGTGCTGCAATTGAGAAATCCTGGTTTCAATGGTCCCACTTCCTTTAGGAAACCTCCGGGTTTTTTGTTTGTTTGTTTGTTTGTTTTTTGAGACAGGATCTTGCTCTGTCACCCAGGCTGGAGTACAGTGACACAGTCATAGCTTACTGCAGCCTCCACCTCCTGGGTTCAAGCAATTCTGCTCAGACTCCCGAGTAGCTGGGACTACAGGTGCATGCCACCACGCTCAACTAATTTTTAAATTTTTTATAGAGACGGAGTTTTGTTATGTTGCCCAGGCTGGTCTCAAACTCCTGGCCTCAAGTGATCGTCCCACCTCGGTCTCCCAATGTGCTGGTATTACCTGCGTGAGCCACCGCACCAGGCTGAGGTTGGCATTTTTGGGTTTTTTTTTTTTTTGAGATGGAGTCTCTCTCTCTTGCCCAGGCTGGAGTGCAGTGGTGCAATCTTGACTCACTGCAGCCTCCGCCTCCCAGGTTCAAGCGATTCTCCTGCCTCAGCCTCCCAAGTAGCTGGGACTACAGGACCACTACACCCAGCTAATTTTTGTATTTAGTTGAGATGAGGTTTTACCATGTTTAGCAGAGACCAGGCCAGGCTGGTCTCGAAATCCTGACCTCAGGTGATCTGCCTGCCTCAGCCTTCCAAAGTGCTGGGGATTACAGGTGTGAGCCACCACCCTGGGCTGGTGTTGAGATTTTATCTAGGCCCAGCAGCCCTCTCCTTCACCAGTATCTCCTAGAACCAAGGGCCCCTGGAGGAGAGGTCCCCTCTCCCTCCCTGCCCCACCCTGGGCCCAGGCTCAGCCTCTCCCTCTGCTCACAGTGCCTCAACCTGGCATTCCTGCTGGCGGACGTGTGGTTCGGCTTTCTGCCAAGCATCTACTTCATCTTCCTGATCATTCTGTATGAGGGGCTCCTGGGAGGCGCAGCCTACGTGAACACCTTCCACAATATCGCCCTGGAGGTCAGCACCAGCCGGGCAAGGGCTGTGGGTGGCCTGTCCAGGGACACCCAGGGCAGGGATGTCTGGGACTGAAGCCTCACCCCTGCTCTCTGCCCTCCCAGACCAGTGATGAGCACCGGGAGTTTGCAATGGCGGCCACCTGCATCTCTGACACGCTGGGGATCTCCCTGTCGGGGCTCCTGGCTTTGCCTCTGCACGACTTCCTCTGCCAGCTCTCCTGATACTCGGGATCCTTGGGACGCAGGTCACACTCACCTGTGGGCAGAGGGGCAGGTCACATACCCAGGCCCACCCTAGAGCCCCTCCACGAACTGTGCTCCTGGCCTTTCCAGCAGGGCTGGGAGTAGGGAAGGGCTGAGACCTTGGTCCCCTTGCAGGGGGGGCTAGCCATTGTCTCCCGCTCAGGGAGCTTCTTCCTGGCATCATGCCCTCTGAATAAATGCCGATTTTATCCATGAACTTCTTGTGCTGTTTTTGTCTCTAAAAAGAAAATACTTTTATTATAAAAGTAATACATGACTACTTTCCTATATATAGACAGCATCAAGAAGGTATGTCAGCAGATTTCTCTCTTTTTGTTTGTTTTTTTTTGTTTTGTTTTGTTTGACAAGAGTCTCCTTCTGTCACCCAGGCTGGAGTGCAGTGGCGCGATCTCGGCTCACTGCAACCTCCACTTCCCGGTTCAAGCAATTCTCCTGCCTCAGCCTCCCGAGTAGCTGGGATTACAGCTGTGCACCACCACGTCCGGCCAGTTTTTATATTTTCAGTACAGATGGCGTTTTGCCATGTTGGCCAGGCTGGTCTCAAACTCATGACCTCAGGTGATCCATCCGCCTCGGCCCCCCCAAAGTGCTGGGATTACAGGTCTGAGCCACTGTGCCTGGCCTCTGCCATTTTTAGGCCTTATGTATTCATTCATTCATGCATTCATTGTATGGTACAATCTATAAACAATCATGTTGGACATTCTTTCCAGCATGAAAGTTTCCAGAGAAGTGGAAAGAATTGTGCAGTGAATCACCCTGAGTGTGCACTACCAGGTTCTATGTTAACATTTTGTTACAGTTGCTTTATCATGTAGTCCAGCCCCCATCAAATCTATCCACTCACTGTTCCATCACACCCTGCTGAGGCATTTTATTTTTTATTATTTTTTTTATTTTTAGAGACAGGGTTGCACTCTGTCACCCAGGCTGAAGTGCAGTGGCACAGTCATGGCTCACTGTGGCCTGGACCTCCTAGACTCAAATAATCCTCACACCTTGGCCTCCCAAGTAGCTGGGACTACAAGTGCACGACACCAAGCCCAGGTAATTTTTTTTTTTTTGTAGAGATGCGATCTTCCTGTGTTACTCAGGCTGCTCTTGAACTCCTGAGCTCAAGCAATCCTGCCTCGGCCTCCGAAAGTACTGAGATTACAAGCATGAGCCACTGCTCCTGGCCTATAGTCCTGTTATTAGGTACAGTTTATATACACAGTAAAAAGTATAAATTGTTAGCCGGGCGCGGTGGCTCACGCCTGTAATCCCAGCACTTTGGGAGGCTGAGGTGGGCGGATCACAAGGTCAGGAGATCGAGACCGTCCTGGCTAACACGGTGAAACCCCGTCTCTACTAAAAATACAAAAAAATTAGCCGGGCATAGTGGCGGGCGCCTATAGTCCCAGCTACTCAGGAGGCTGAGGCAGGAGAATGGCATAAACCCGGGAGGCGGAG